AGATCATTTAACTTACAGTGCTAACCATTTCCTTGGAAACCTATAACAACTGGTCTGTACCATTCTTTGACACAAACATATGACCCCTGCTATTGAATAAGAGGGCGGCTTTGCTGCCAATGTTGACACTAAGCACCAGTGCTGATCTGGACACCTTGGAAGTTGTCCTCTTCCTTTACTACTTGCCACATTTGTATACTGTGCTCTAAAATCTGAGATCAGTTAATGAAAGCAACTTTATCGAACAGATGCTGACTGGTCCAACAGAGTAATAATTCAATAATCCAATCTCCTCCATCAGGCTCCTGAAACTTTCAGGAGGAAGGATTATGGCAGGACTTTTGGAGAGCAACAATACTGGCAGGAGTATGGAGAATAACAAACATTCAAAGCTGTGTGGCTGGCCACCATCTTTGAGCAGGGCACAGCTGTCTGTTTCCTACTCGAAAATATGACAGGCAACAGAGTTGGTTGCTACGCAACGTGTATGCAGCCCTTGTTTACCACGGCAATTACTGAACCATTTTGAACTGGTTCAAAGCCCTGGTCAGAACAGAAATGGCAAAGAAGTGGTAAAAGTGGTTTTCTATCCACACAGAATTCTAGGGAGAGAGACTTCAAAGCCGAATGGCAGAAGCTGGGTTTCTGGGATTGGTAAAGTGACTCCCTTTTCCTGGAGGCCTGGAGCTGAATCCTGTTGAGTGTCAAGAGAGGACCCAGGACAAGAAGGAGTAGGGTTCTTTTACCTGGAGTGGGATGACAATCATGAAGATCTTTTTGTCTTTATCCGAAAGGATATGCTTAATGAAAGCCCAGCCAGTGCCAATGAGTGCAATGGTGATGAACAGTAGTGCCCCTTTCAAACTAGAAAAGAAAAACATTCACAGATAACAACAGGTCTCGTCTAGCTCTCACTCAGCAAGTTAAGATTACAGAGCTTATTCTAGGACTTCACACACTTCTTGCAAAAGACAAAAGCAGCCAAATGTACCAAATTCATGTTAAGTGAGCAACATACTCTTTACTGCCACACAGATAGTTAGCTATGCACCCTACTACCTGAGTAGCCAACCACTTCAGGCAGGCAGGAAGACAGGCAGCTACTCCCAGGAGCATGTCAGCAGTCCCAAGGTCTCAAGTTTAGATAGCCACTTGTATGTCACACACCTTTAGCATGGCAGAGAGCCACATGGGCTGCCACAAGAGGGTGGACACAGTCAACTTTGTCTTTTCCTATCATAATTTTGCCAACTTTTCCTGTACATCATTTCATGGCATGAATATTTTACATGTCATCTTGCATACTTACAGGTGAGTGATGTAGTACACAACAGCCCAACCTTCAATCGGAAAGCCCTGGGAGGAGATGTAGTGATAGTCAATCTGAAATCAAACAAGTGCATTTCAGAAAGGTCAATCTAGCATGTGCATATCAAACAGCAAATCATAACAGAGGATCCTATGATAGAGGATGTCCACCCTTCACCCCACTCCCTAATCCCTCACATGTCAATTCACAATGAAGTACATGAGTGCACTAACAAAACATTAGGTAGCTCGACAGACCTGACAAAAGGTTTTAATGTCACCAGCCCAGGTCCCTCATTTAAGGCAAGTGATTCACTCTTGCAAATGGCTGCCTATTCTTTCCTTAAAAATCTCCAAAGTCCAAATCACTTATCTTTCAGTATCCCAGTCATTCGTCCACCCAACCATTACTGCTTCCATAAGTAAACAAGTCAGTTAATCAGTAAGTAAAGATTCTATGCAGATCATTCTGCTTCAACTTTTTTTCCCCATAAAAAATCTGAAAATATAGAGCTACCTGAGGCCACCAAAACATTTTAACTAAAATGGCAAGTTTCAGTAGTATGACCAAAACGTTCCCTGCCAGAACTCTAAACTATAACATCAATTTTATTTACATATCTTTCGTTCCATCACAAATGACTATGTAGAGACTAAAGTGAGTCAAAGATCCTCTCATTCATTAGCTATATGGTTTCCAAAAGAAATCTTTTAACTTGGATCCAAATGGGAAATTCTCCAAATAACTGTCATTTCTTGAAATTTTAACCAAATAAATTATTGCTTTTGCCTATGACATTTTTAAATGCAGGTAAGAGAGCACATATCCAGAGACAGCCATTCTTATTAATGTGGCCTATGGGGACTGGAAAGGCCCACAAGTTGGGAAAGCTGTGATCTTACTACCACAGATAAGTTCATTTCAATGTGCATCAGTTTTATGTATTCAAAGCCTAAGCTCAATCTTTATGCCTCAATCTCTAAAGGATCACTTTGCTGTCAAACAAGCATGATAACACTGAACTTTAAATCAAACAGCAATGTGAGGGATTGCAAGCACACTTCACTCTACTGTGCTCCACTTTACCACACCACACAGATACTGCGTTTTTTACAAACCGAAGGTCTGTGGTAACTCTGCACTGAGCAAGTATACCAGTGTATTTTCCCAACAGCATGTGCTCACTTCACATCTCTGTGTCACATTTTGGTAATTTTCCCAATATTCAAACTTTTTCAGAATGCTACTGCACACTTAAAAGACTATAACTTTTACATGCACTGGGAAACCAAAAAAACTACAACTTTCATCATTGTGATATTCGGTTTATTGTGATATTCACTTTACTGTGGTGGTTTGGAACCAAACCCACAGTATCCTTGAGATATGCCTGTATTTGAAAAAATAACGGCAAAAATTCAGCAGGTGGCACTCTAATCTCAAAACACGTCTTCTTGGAGAATTCTGTTTGTAAGGTAACATCAGAGATGTCTTAAGTCTAGTGCTGGCAGATGTTGGAATCATTTACCCCCCATGACTAGTCTCTCCCCCAAGACAAAAGAAGGCTTCATGAGTAGTCTGTCATCATTTCTTTTCCACCAATCCATCCCCATTCTTCTAATCCACTTTTCACGCTCACATAAGCATTCTAAACCATGTCATAAATGACCCTCCCCTCAAAAAATGCTAATACATACTGCATGGAACACCAAGGAAAGAGACTTGGTGAAAGGAAGGGCCGCCATCAACCAGTGAATTTTAAATACATCATTCCTATAAAAACAGAGAGAAAAGACATAAAGGAATATTCCATTTTATCAAAGGACAGCAGAAGCTCCATGCATCATATCTATTTATAAGGAGGCAGTAAACAAAATGTAAGCAAATCATAAAATGTTTTTCTTTAAAGGAGTTTCTGTAAGTAGAAGCAGAGTGCTAAAGTCATCTCCAATATATAATTCACAGTTGTGAATGGAACCAACAGTTATGCCTGCCAGACGTGATGGGTTCTGAATCCTGACAAGATGGAAATCTAGCACAATCTGCTGGATTCTTCCCCAGAAATGACCCTGGACAAGACACAGAGGCAAAAGCTAGTGAACGGATCTCAGGAAATGGCATGAAATCTCCAGTAAGGCATAACCAATTAGTACAGTTGTAGGGAAAACTGGAGCCCTGGGAAGAAGGCTGTAAGCCAGGCACCAGGGATGGGGCTAGGGAGAAGCAATGGTGTTGTGCCCCTTTCCCTCTACCTCATGATGGGTGCTTGTCTAATACACCAGGCCAGTGGGGTCCATCCCCACCTCCACCCCTTAGGAGGGAGGTCTAACACAGGTACTGATCTACCTTTTGAGCTTCGAGGCATTAAATTCCTTTGCCCTCTTCTACCTCCCTCTAGGAATAATCTAATAGAAGACACATAAGACCATTATGGAGAAAAATTTTAAATTCTACTAAACTGTATAAATGAACACTTAAAGCTACAAGGGAAGTCACATTCTCAGATACTAAGACATCAGGACCAGCATCACACAAAGACCAAAGGAACAGACTAGAGAGCTATCAGCTATATAGACCTCATGGTTTTATGGAAGCTTAATATATGATAAAAGTGAAACCATCAGTGTGTCATCAATAATAATTGACATAATCAATAATAGTCATCAATAATAGTTGACACTGGGAATAACTGGCTCAAACCTATACACTCACTCCTCACTTACCGACTATCTCTTTATCTGATGTTCTGCATTTACAACAATAGTAAAAAAATCTACCATCTGTCTATTCTACACATTAGCAAAGTGGCAGGCATGGCGGCAAACAGCTGCAGAGTCTCCCTCCCTTGAGGAGTGTCTCCGTGGCCTCTGAGAAGCTGGGTCATACTGCCCTGTACCCTCTGCTCCATCCTGCTTGCAGGGGGCTGCGTCCATTTGCCACGTGGGACCAGCCTCCTCTTGGGCCACAGCCTCTGAGTGGAGGTGCAGGTGGCACAGAGCCAGTGGCCTGTTCTAGAGTCCCAGTTTCTATACGGCCTCAGGTCCTGCCGCTCAAAACTACTGTGAGGTGGGAAGGAAGGAAAGAAAGAGGCACCAGAAAGGGTGTTTAGAAGAAATGTGTACGAGTTTAATGACATCCCAAAGTGAACTGAACAAGGCCGGAAGCTTCCGTCTCAGTGGACCAGGGAGCAAGGCCAGGCTCCCAGCACCCTTGTAGGAAGCCCTGAGCCTTAGTGACATGCCAGGTTTAGAGAGCAGTGCAGGCTCGAGAACAGGCAGGGCTTGCAGAGGTGGGAGTAGAGCCCTGGAGGCAGCTTGACGGAAGCTCTGACCCAGCACAGGAGGAAGTGAAGTGGTTAAGTCCTGGGCCTTTCAGTCATACAACCCAGCTTTATCCAGCTTTGTCTCCTCTTCATTTTCCACAGAGGAATAATCCTAACTGGACTCATCACAGTGATAAGTACATCAATAATTCTTAGTTGTTATTATTTCTATGATCATATTTTCTAAATTAAAAAAAGACAAATGGATGATCTGAAAACAGAAAGAAAAAAAAAATCTCCCCTTTCTATATAATGTGGATTTCATGTAACAACCTGGTCTTTGGAACCTATGTTGATAAGCAAGGACTGGGTGTACATTAAAAAAAAAAAAAAA